TGGTGGGGACTCCGGGATCTGGACTCACTATATGCGCTCTATAGTTGTTGACCAGGCCCTGGAGGTCGTCGAGGAGTATCAGGGGAAGATGTTGAAGATCGAGCAAGCTGTGCTGCTCAAGCCGAGCATGAAGACAGTTCGCAGACGTTGGTCCCTGATCTCCAGAACCATGATCTGGATCACGAACTCACGCGACGTCTGGCAGTTCACATCCTGCAAGGCGACCTCGTTCTGCATAAGCGCACCCTAGAGCCCATCAAGACCGTCATCTATGGCCTCCGCAGGTACGACGTCGACCGCGCCATGGCGTTGCGAGATACGATAGAGGATAAGAGGAAAGAGGAGGGCTACATGAGCCACAAGGCTAAGATATACCTCGTACGTCGCACATCCCCTCCCTCAACTTACTCCGAGCTGATCGGGCCGGGTTTGCATGGGTGCTTTCTTGTGCTCCGGGCACTTTCCGCGCGGATTGGCTTTGGGTCACACAGGCGGACGTGCATGATCATATGGAGTACATTCTCTCCAGCTTGGACATGATCGCGGACGTGACATCGAACCTGATGGATTACACTTTCAACGTGAGCGTTTCCACGTCTGCGTGCGACATCGTTCGCTCACATGTTTTCTGCTGTGCAGATGGCATCGTATGAGATGAACGAGGTCATGTGCGTCGCCACAGGTGCCTAAGGTTGCCGGAGGGCGGGAAAGCTGACGGTTCGACCCACAGGCGACGCCTCACGCTCATAACCATCATCTGCCTGCCTCTCACCCTGCTCACCGGGTACTTCGTACGTCTCCCCCCCTCGTCCGGCCCATTATGCTGCATGCTGAGACGCGGACCGACGCAGGGCATGAACTTCTATACGATGTTCTCCGTGACTCACCACAGCGATATCTTGTACGCCCCCTTTGCGTCCTGTCCGCCACGTTCTAGCTAACCGTGCGGTTTGCTCCGTAGCTTCTGGGAGGTCGCAATCCCACTCATGCTCACCATCATGCCCATGTTCTTCCTGAGCGACTTGCGGCGCCTGAAGCACTACCTCGAGAAGCGTACTCAGCGCCATGCGATCAAAAAGGTGAGCGGGAGCGTCGTCGGTTGCAGAGCGAACGAGCGAGCTAAGGCTGAAACTTCGGTCAGGCTTACCGGTAGATGTCTCTCATTTCTTCCTTGAGCGGTCTTGGCTTCTCGTGGCCCCTCCCACAAGCTGTCCTCCTAGTCAGACCCCGCGGCACTCTCACGGCTCCATCCTCATGCTAGTCCCCGTCCTCTTCCACTCCTCACGCCACAACCCCTACACCAGCATCTAATTTAACTTACACGCCGTCTGACTATCCCGCTTTGGCCCAGTGTTTTGCCACCCTCTCGTCATGCATTACGTCTGGACTCCTCTCTACCCACTTCCCACGTCGACCTCCGCATACGCGCCCCTCACTCTGGATGCTGGACTCTGCTTGTAACGCATAGGAGTCTGAACTGACTTGGTACTTGCTTGGTGCCGAGCCAATTGAATGCCCTCCCGCGACTCTGGCGGGTTGTGACTCCGGAGCGGTGCGGGCGCCTCGTTCCCCCGCGCGCAGCCCGCGCGTGCTCAGCGCTCAATACTCAATGCTCGATGTTCGATATTCCGGGGGCCCGGTGGGGCAACAGCCGACTCGGTCGTGATGGGGGTTTCGGACGCAAAAGTTTAGCGGGCGTGCTCAGAAACCCTCTCAACTTTGAGGGTCATCCGGAATCGTGACTTGGGGTCGGGTCACCTGATGTCGTCGCGATAGTAGTTAACGCGCATCAACTCTCTCTCTCTCTCTTCTCTCCCCCCTCCGAAATCGATGTTGGTTCTCTCCCTTCTTCCCTCTGCGCCACGCAAGCGCACCCCTTCCCCATATATGCGGTAAGCATAATAACGGGCTGAGTACAAATCCCGCGCGATGTGACCCTCCGTCACGAACCCCAAACGGTCCTCCCCCGGCCACAGCCTAACGGCTGGATCCAAGACCAGGGCGCATGCACCTGTTTCCATACACCCTCGCAGCTCTGTCTTGGCTCTCTGATGCACGGACTCCGGCTTCTTTTATCTGCGATCAGCGGTCCTCAACTTACCTCAAGGCCTCACCAGGCGTGCCCGGTGAGTGCTTCGAGACGGGGCGCGGATCACCACCCCCACTGACTAGTATGGCGCAAATGTTCATCATCCAGAACTTTACTCAACGCCGTGAAATTAAGAGTCGAAGAGAGCTCTGATTTCAGACACCAAACACGCCCACGTGAACGTTCTGTCCATCGGAATCGAACATTTACCTTGCAAAGCGAGTGCCTGGTACTCACCGACGCCGCGGCAACGATAGCGGCATTCCTCACGAATATCCAGACTCCAGTTCCACTTTACGTTGCCCTTAAAGTGCTGCAAGCTACCACAGGCTACCGCATCACGGTAAAAATGTCCACAACCATTGTTGGAGTCGGCAACGCTTACAACTTCCCGACATTGCTTCTTTGATTTTGACGACAGGCCAGTCCTCTCCGACAGGACTCCATCCCAACGGCTAGCGAATTTCTGGACAATATCAAATCATCAGAGGCGTACACATGATGTGTCGCCTTCCCCAATGCGTACCGCCCGCATGGTTCATCCAACCCGGGCCACTTACCTAGCACATACTTCAGCTTGTCCATCGACAGCTCCGAACCGGCGCGGACGGACTCAAGTGCTCATGCTGCCCTCCACGGCAGCCCGCAATGCTTCGCCCGCGTCATGGCACACGCAGCGGTGCCCCGTCTCGTCTAGGTACCACTACTTCCCGGATGAAGATCTATCATCTCACCTCCAGCTAGCGAATTTCTAGGCAAGGTCCGACCATCAGAGACGTACACAATGTGAGCGCTTGGCTGCCGCTGGTCTCCTCGCCCGATCCATCGCTCCCCGCCAACCTTCACCAAACCCTTTGGTCGGCGGCTGTGCGGTATATCTAGCGACCAGCTACTCGCCCGTGCACGATCTTTGAAGATCCCTCACCCCTCTCTTCCCTGTCCTCTCCACTCTCCCTCTTCCCTCCTCCCGCACCCTCGCGCCCCGCCCTCCCGCTCCTCCTCGTCTTCCGCGCGATCGACGCCCCGCCAAAGCCCGCGAGAATGTCCACCAACTCGACAGCCACTGACCCCGCCGCGGCCGCGGCAGCGGCGGCGCTCGCGGCGCTCTCCTCTATCAAGCTCGACAACACCCTCGGCGCGCAGCTCGTTGGTGTCCTCTTTAGCGTTCTGTACGTTGCGCCGTCTCCTCGCGCGCGCCATGCCTATGTCGTGCCGCCGCCGCCGCCCCCGCGTCCCCGTGTCCTGGGCCCGATCGGCAGTCGGTAGCGCGCGACGCGACGGCCGCAAAGGTCGCGCTCGCTCGAGCGGCAGGGCCCACGGGACGCTCAGGGCGGCGTGTGGTAAGACTAACGCCCACCACGACGTGCTGACACCTCGCCCCGGCAGGCTGAACGGGATGCTCATCAGCCAGACGTTCCAGTACTACCGGGCTTTCCCCAAGGACAAGCCCCTCCTCAAGGCATGGGTGGGTGCGACGCACGTGGATCGAGTGGGCGCTGACAGACGTCCCTCTAGGTTGCCATAGTGGTGTGCGTGCATCCCCGGTCAGACTTAATGGAATGCGATGCGGCGCTGACACCCGGCTCGTGACAGAATTTTGGAGACGTTTACGACGGCGTTGATCTGTCACACTGCGTGAGTCCCTATTCGAACCGTTAGTGTGCTTGTGGCAGACCTCGCGCGCGCTAGGTACTTTTACCTGATAAGCAAGTACTGGGATCCGACGTATTTCTTTATCGGACCCCCCGTGTGGTCGATTAACGTGAGTTCTCGTCACGCCTGGACTCAGCCCTTGCTCATGGCGCTCTGTTGTCGCAGTTGCTGCCTCCTCCCGCCGTAAGCGTCGCATCATCCTGGCGTGCATGGCGTTTGTGCTGAACTGTGGATTTACAGACCGTCGCAGCCCTTTTGTCCCAGAGCTTCTTCGCCCGTCGAGTCTGGTTCAGTGCGTGCACCCAGCCCCGTCTAATTGCAGAACTGATCACCGATGTCACGCCGTAGTCGCACCGAAGTTCCGACCCATTGTAGTGATAGCAGTCAGTGGCATACATATTCTGCGTCCATAAACCTGCTCACCCTCTTTTTCCAAAAGATCATTTTGATCGCAGGCAACGTCGGTGAGAATATTCCGCGTGGCTTGTGCATCTTCACATGCCAATGCTGAACTGGGTGTGTTCTTATCTCGCTGTCTAGGCTGCTATAGCGGTGAGATTCGACTCCTTTTACACCCATCCCATAATCCGGAAGCTGATCTGTATCTCTCCGTCCCGATCAGCCATGTCTGTGATGATGTCAGTTGTTCTTCATGCCTCGTGATATTCCAGCTTTCTCACCACCAGGACGGATGCGCCGCAGGTTCCGGGCGTCCACCATATCAGCATGGCTTCAGTTCTCGGTTCGTATCTTGCACTCAGAATCATAAAAGATATTCTTTCTGACGCCGATCGTCTCTTACGAAAGTGGCTTGCCACTGTTGGATCGTCTATCCAGATGGGTGGAGACCTGATGATCACGTCGACCCTCATCTATGTCCTGAACACCAGCCGCACTGGGGTGAACAAGTGCGTATGCAATATTCCAGGAAATGCACATCCTATTTACATGATGGGGCCACAGCACCAACACCATGCTCGACACGCTCATCACGTACGCGATCAGCTCCGGTACGTGCCATGTCATCCTCTTTTTATTTATTGCCATGTCCTGATTCCAGATCGACGAATACAGGTTTGACGACTTGGTGAATCACAATTTCTCCTGCACTCACCGGCATCTCTGCTAACGACCCCCGCCCTCCACTTCACGCAGCGTCGTGCACGTCCTAAACGTCGCTTTTGTACGCGCCCGTCCCATCGCACTATCCAAAGCCGATCTGACGTTCACCCGTGCCAGTCGATCAAATACCCGGACAACTTCATCTACGCCGCGCTCTCCCTAGTGCTCACCAAGCTGTACGCCACCAGCTTCCTCGTCGCGTACGTCCCTCCCCACGCTCCGGCCGCTCACCCTCGGCTGATCTCCCACTCGCTCGCGCGCAGGCTGAACACCCGCAAGTCCCTCGGGATCATGAGCGCCGGTACGTCCGAGCCGTCGCCCTACCACGGCTTCAGCGGCGCCTCCGTCCGCATGAACCACCCGCCGCCGTCGAACGTGCACGTGCGTCCGCCCCTCCGCCCGGCGCGCCATTACTGACAGCGACGCGCCCCGCCCCGCCGCAGGTCTCGACGGGGGGGTACACAAAGCCGTACAGCCAGGCCACGTCCTGCGGCCCGATCGAGCTCAAGGTCGTGACCGAGGTCGTCAACGACGTCTCGGACGAGTACGGCCGCCGCGGGGGCAAGGCAACGCAGTACAGCGTGTGAGGCACCCCCGCGTCCGTCCGTCCGTATGTCCGCGCATGCCGCGCGTAGAGCGTCTCGGTCGAACCACACACGCTGAATGGCGCTCCGTGAGCCGGACTGGATTGTCTAGAGCCGTGAATGCAATTTGGGACCTTTACGCGAGGGTACGCGACGAGGGTGATCTCTGGCGCGAAGCCCGCCTCCGCCGCGCGGGTGCTTCAGCTGGGCCTTCAAGTTATGGATACGCGCCGACTGAAGGGCAGCATACATAGACAGGTAACAGCTGGTTCAGGCTTACACGCACCAGATCTCAGCAGTGTAGTCCCGACTGTTCTCGTGTTTCGTTGTATGACCCAACTATGACTTCCTATGCCTCTGGTTTCTTCTCGACCGTACGTAGAAACCCCCAGACGAGATTCGGAGCGGCTAGATTGTATTAGTAGTGCTCCCCTCTGGATGTATATCAGGATGGTTCTCCGTTCCTCGAGAATCAATACGCTCTTGGATATAAATACCGCGCATCACGCAGAGAGATCTCATACTCAACTAAGCGCAGCAAGACACGCTCTGCGCGCGCGCCCTTCGATATACACGCTAATCGCTGTATACCAGAAGGAACTTGGTATTGAGTACGAGAGTTGCATTAGCTATACCACTCGGGGGCAAGAGGATGACATTGAAAATGGGTTGTTTACGATAAAAGGTCTGTGGTCGTATACGTCTATACGAGGACACGCTGCCTCTCCGCAGAAGAGTTCGCGACAAGCAGACTCGCGCGGCGCAGCATGTCAAAGTGCGTCTATAATGTCTATCTGGAATCGAGGAGAACACTTGAGCGACGAGGTAATGCTACACAACGGGCACTCACCGGCGTAACAATGAAAACAACAAAGGCTCTCATCGCAACACCAACACCCAGGACGTCCCGCATCCCGCCCAAATGTTGATCGCCTCGCCCCTCCTCCGCGCCCCTTCCTCCGCCGGGGGCCACACCCGCGTGGGCTCGTGCACGTCCTCCGTCGAGCCCAGTCCCAAGTTCCCGTGCTCGTTCCAGCCCCACCCCCAGACCTCCATCCCGCCCCGCTCGCCCTGGTCGACCAAGCACAGCGCGTGCTCGCTCCCGCACGCGATCCGCGCCGCCCGCCCCGGCTCCATCGCGAACGGGAACTGCACCGGGGCGGGGCCCGCGGAGCGCTCGACGCCCTCGCGGCCGCGGCCGAGCTGCCCGTGCGCGCCGCTGCCGGCGGCGACGACGACGCCGCTGCGGAAGAGGGCGTAGGTGCCGTGCCAGGTGCAGGCGACGGCGGCGACGTGCTCGCGCCCGGCGAGGCCCGCGTACTGGTTCTTGCGCGTCGCGCCCATCGCGCCGAGCGTGCCGTCCTCGCGGAGGAAGGCGGAGTGCGCCTGCCCGAGCGCGAGCGCGGCGAGCGCGTGCGTCGTCGGCATCGAGACCAGCGTCGGGCGCGCGAGGAACGGCGCGGGCGCGTCGAGCGGGCCCAGCTGGCCGTGCCGCGCGGCGCCCCAGCCGGCGAGGAAGGCGAACGCGGAGCCGTCGGGGCGCAGCGCGCGGACGTGGGCGATGACGTGGTGCGGGCCCGCGGAGAGGGCGAGCACTTGGAGCGTGGCGTCTTCGTGCCCCAGGTCGGAGAGGAGGGGTCGGAGGGGGACGGTGTGTGTCCGGGGCGCGGATGGGGTTGAGGAGGTCGCGTCGGTGCCCCCGACGCCGAGTGCGCCGCGGTCGTCCGCGCCCATGGAGAGGACAACGTCGTCGGCTTCGGCGCGCGAGAGAACGACGTAGGACGTCTCCCAGCCAGCAGCGATGATGCGCACCGCGTATCCTTCCGTGTCTCCTCCCAAGAGTAGGTCCAGCGGGCGGAACGTCGTGTTCGCGAGATTGGAGTCGTAGGAAGGGCCCAGCTGGCCGCGTCTGCCGTCCCCGCACCCCCAAAGCTCCAGAACGCCGTCCTGCATCTCTAGGAGGGCGAGAGTGTGGTTTGCGCCGCACGCGACCTGTCTCAGCCCCACTGCACCATCGGGAAGGCGGCCAGGGGTGGTCACGTTGGAGAAGCGGGAAGGGGTGAAGTGGTGGGCATCTTCTTGGTCGCCTGTCGCAAGCTGGCCGCGCGCATTAGAGCCAGCAGAATACAGGAAGAGCGAGGGCATGAGATGGTGGGGGCATGAGCGCAAGATGGACGTCGGTGGCAACGGCCGTGTGCAGGGTTGATCGAAGCATATGCGCGGGCAGGCGGCCCGCGAATGTTCCGAAACGACCTTGGGCTTGAACCTGCTTGAACTGGCTTCAAACGTGGCCGAAGAACAGGGAGAGCGGTACTAATTGAGGAAGAGAGGCTGAAACACAGCTCCACTCGTAATCGAAAGTAACCTGTGTACTCTCGGCTGCAGCACCTACACTCAGGCAGCGCGCAGGACGCAGTACTTGTTTTAAATGTTTTTAAAAGACCTCGCCCGGGTACCATACGAGAACATAAGGGAGAAGGCCCCACAAAACTGACTCCCGGACATCTCTGTGATACTCATATATATTGAAGTGCCGCATCTAAGAACACCTGAAAATCTGGGTCGCCTTTTTGACTGTGAAGTGGTATGGCTGCACTAATGCCCTTTGGATCCTCGTTTATTGCCCTCTGGTAGACATGGTGTTCGAAAGTAGAGTATCGTGGTATTGCAGGAAGTGTCATCTTTGTATACACAATGCACTAGTTTTGTATTAAAAAAATCATTCGCTGTCTTCGATGCACAAAGTGTTAAGCTGAAGCGGGCCCTTGGACCAATGCTCGTTGCCCGTGATGAAGTCCGCGCGCACCACCTTGCCTCTCGAGACGACCCACCCGTCCCTCTCCACCTTCACATACACCCCCTCCACAGGCCCGTCGTAGAACAGCGACGGCCGCTCGACCGCCCGCCGCAGCTCCTCTTCCTCCAGCATCCTCCCCTCGTGCACGAGCGGAACGAGTGGGATGCCGGTCCCCGCCAACAGCCCCTCCAACGTCCGTCGGTCTGCCCACCGCTCCGCGCTGCGGTCGTACAGGTCGAAGGCCACGAACAGCCCCGGGAGGCGCGAGTACGCGATCGAGTGCGTCGCCGCGAGCCACTCCCCGAACAGCACGAAGCGCTGCGCGAAGAGCGCGTCCCGCCCGAGCACGCGCCGCAACGCCTCGTCGTGCCGCGCGAGCCACGCCCCGAGCGCGCGGAACTGCGCGTGCGACGTCGGGTTGACGAAGTGCGAGCGGTTCTGGACGACGACGGACGCGCGGTCCGCGGAGAGCGAGAAGCCCATGTTCGCGCCGTCGACCTTCTCCGTGACGACGACGTGGGTGTCCGGGGCCGGGCTGGCGTCGACGGAGGGGAGCGGCGACCGCGAGATGACGACGTCGTCGCTCGTCGCGGCACCGAGGTCGAGCAGGTGCGGCGTGCGCGGGAACTTGAAGAGCCCGACGGGCGGCGACAGCCGCGCGACGAGCTCGTCCGCCGCCGCGAACGAGCGCACGACGCACACCGCCCCGAACCCCTCCGCGGTCTGCGGGCGCTCGAGCTGCCCGTGCATCTGCGCGAGCGCGGCGCGCACGCGACCCCCGGGCGGGAGCGTCGGGTGGCCCGCGCGGTTCTGCGCGCGCGACTCGCACAGCGTGCGCGGGTAGTCGAAGAACACGCAGACGGGCGCGCGCGCCCACGACGCCGCGAGCGCGAGCCAGTCCGCACGCCGTGCCCGCGCGACGTTGCAGAGGTCGAGGAGGACGCGGCCGTGGGCGGCGTGCCCGATCGCACGCTCGCACGCCGCGCGGCTCCCGGACTCGTCCTGCGAGATGTGCGTCCAGCCGCGGGGGTCGCGCGCGAGGAGGGCGCGGACGAACGTGGACTTGCCGGAGCCCGGAAGGCCGACGAGGACGAAGAGGTCGGCGTCGCGCGGGAGGGTGCCTTCGATCTCCAGGGGGCAAGGTGGGGGTTCAGGGACGAGGTCGGGGAGGATCGCATGGCGCTTCCAGATGGCGCTGCAGTACTTGGCGACAAAGTCTTCCTGGACTTCGCTTTCCAGACTTCCCGGCCGCATAACGCGGAGAGCGGCGATCGCTTGTTTGGCGGTCATGGCGGGTTCCGTGCGGGAGGAGTCGGGGAGGGCGAAGCCGTAGGCGACGAGGTAACAGGCGGCGACGGTACCGGCGCGGCCCTTTCCGCCAGCACAATGAATGAGGATGGGAGTGTTTTTGCGGTCCTCCAGAAGACGAAGTATAAGATCCATCTGCTCGATTGTGGGAGGCCGGTAGTCGGGCACGGGGAGGAACGTGTTCTGAACGTTACGTCGTGCGAACCAACTCCGGTCCAGAGGCATCTCGTCGGTCAAGGTGACGACGTGGCGAATGGCCAAATGAGCTGCCGCCAGGACCTCGATGTCATCTCCGCCCCGAGGTGTTGACATGAGTGCGATGTGGAATGGGATAAGCCACCTGAAGAACCGGGGTAGGCGGAAGAGCTCTGGAAACGGTCTGGAAGGGTGGGGCACGAGCATATGCTCGCGCGATGGGATGCAGAGCGACGAAGCATTCAAGGATCCTCTCGAGGCGACTGCGTCGCGGACACGTTGCGACCAAGGAGCGAGGAGCTCGCGCGGCGTGTCGCGCTCAATCTGCCTGCGCTCGTCGTCCATGACGAGGCAGCCCCACTCCGTGTATTGCGCGCAGTCTTCCAGCTTCTGGAGGCAGTACTCGGGAGCCTTCGGACCCGAGCACCGGTCGTAGGCGCATGCGTAGCCGAGCATGGCGAGCTTGAACTGCCCCTCCTTGATCGCGGCGTCGGCGAGTCGTAGGAAGCCACGCTCCGATTGAGGATCAACGTTGACAAGTTTGCTGCCGATCTCACGTGCGCGAGTGAAGTTGCCCTCTGCGTGCAGCGTGAACGCTAGATGATCAAGAAAGTCTGTATTCGTCCATGAGAGGCTTGAGCAGTAGTTCCGAGGGAGGACGGCGTCGAAGCCCTTGTTGAGGGTGTGGTCGTCGTGCTTCGAGAGCGTGATATGGAACTGCTTCGGTTTGAGTCCAACCCGTTTCCGCAGACTCTGGCCCGGGGCCCAGATGACGACCAAGTAAAACACTCCGAGCTTGGGGTTACCGGCCAGTCCGACGACGTAAAGATGTTGCGTGTCGACAGAGTCAAGGGAGGGGAGTGCTGCCTTGATGGAGCCCTCGCGAAGCTCGTCCTTGGTGCAAACCGTGATGTGAAAGCCAGAGAATTGCGAATCGTGGAGAGCACCGCCATGTTCAGCGTAGGTCGTGTGTTCCAAGTCTGCGATGGCCTTCTGGGCGAGTGTATCGATCCGAGGGCCTGTGAGGGCGAGAAAACCGCGTTGAAAGGTTAGCGACATGGGAAATGGTGGGGAATGATCTGAATGAGCCGATGATGGAGGGAAACGTTGTTCGAGCGAATATAAGCGACCTCTGGTGATGCTTGATTTCGGGCCCGTGAGAGTCATCCTGATCGGGAACACCACATGCACGGTGAGTCAACGTGGCACAGCCTTGAGGTTGCTACCAAAGTGAAAGCGGAAGTAGACATTGCGGAGGACGACAAGAACATAGCTGATGACGAGGAGAAGGACGGGGGCCATTGTGCGACATGAGGTCTGTTGCCTGTGACTGGGAGAGAGGCTGCTTTGCTACATGAAATCGCATGCGAAGTTAAGACAAGAGCATATAAATCTATCCAAGTTCCCACCACTTACAGAGTCAGCGCGGAGAGGGGTGTAGCCGACCGAACGGGCACCGGCGTTGGCTGCTTCACCCTCCTATTCGCGGTCATCACCCTGCCCCCAGGCCGACGGACCGCAAGCCATGTTATGCCCTGGTTAGACTGCATAAAAGATACGCTGAAAACGGCACACTCACTGCATGTCACCTCGCCATGGTCGTCCAGACCTGAGCCTTTATTTTCCAGTGTCGAAGTTGTGGCCAACGCGCCTCGAATTAATTCCCTTGGGAAACCATGGACGTCGCTGCTACCTTGATCAAGGTCTAGCGAAATTCACGCACACCATTACATCCTGGGTGGAGATCCGACTGGACGAGTTCCATAAACATGCTTTAATGATGCACAACTACACGTGGCAGGATCCCTATGTAGACCATTCGTCAGTGGGAACACTCGCAATGTTGTAGGGACCTACCGCCAATGATTGCATGAGGCTCGGGGCTGCTGCGTGTTTGCGTGTGGAGAAGCTGGTGAATGCAGAGGCCACGCGGAGTGTTAGAGACACAGCGAGAAAAGAGTGAATTCCGACTATGTGAGATGGCACTGTCCGCGGATGTGTACTAGTATACAGTAGAGGAGAATGATACAGCCGGCGAGACATCCGCCGTCAAGTCCATAACTCGGGCCCGCTAAGTCTGCGTTTTCTTGCGCTCAGGGAGGCAGATGGCCTGGCCTGGCAGAAGCTTGTCACAGTTGAGGCCTTCGTTGACACGAAGAACATCGTCAACTGTGATGCCCCACGCGTCGGCTAAGTTCCAGCACGTATTTCCGCGGGAGATCTTGTAGACCTGGGTGTTGGTGGGACAGTCGACGGTAGCGATGGACTTGCCGGAACCAACGAGACGGATGACAAGGAGAAGGACGGCGGCGATGATGAGGAAGAAAGGCAAAATGGTGCGGTAGGCGCTGTTGGCACGACCCTTCTGCCCAGACGACAGGGAGCCGTTCTGCAGCGGACCGACCGCATATGAGCAGACATTCGAGTGAAGATGTTGCATAACGCACCGAGTCCACCGCCAGGGGGGCGTACCCGTCCGAACGGAGACCCACGTCGGCCTCCTCATCTTCAGGCTCCTCGTCCGGGGTTGGGCCACCTTCCTGGACTGCGTCCAGCCACTTCGCTCAGACCCCACCGGGATGTATGCGTCAAGGCCGTGCACTCACCGCGCCTCATCTCGCCAAACTCTGCGCCTTCCGGACCCTCCCAGAGCGACCCATCGAGCCCACGGAAATAGTACTTCCCGGTGTCAGAGTCGTAACCAACGCGCTTCATGCCCGCGGGGAGGCGGTACGAGTCCTGGACAGAACGTTAACGGCTAGACTCAGCGTTGAGGCAGCACATCCTGAGGCAAACACACCTCATCATACTGCGTCCAGCGGCCCATAGTGTTGTTCAGGTAGTGATGGTGGTAGAGGGGAAAGAATGTATGGAGCGACGACGCATTCCCTGGAGCGGTGTACAGCTGCGGGCGCTGTGACCGGCGACGGCGGCCCCCTCGAGACCGGCCGCGCCGCGCCAACTTATGCCACCCAATGGTGCTGCACGCGAAGGCTGGCTTCGGATGTCATCTCCAAATCATCTCCTCCCTTTCGCCGCATGGACTCGGCCATAAATACCGTCTGCTGCGCCATGCAGCCTGCTTATCATCTCGTCCTCGATGGCAACAACTACAAACCGCGTTCTCCGTGTCGCTCTCCGCGGCGAGGCCATTCTCACCCACCCCCGATTCAACAAGGGCACCGCGTTCACAGCGTCGGAACGCAGGGCCTTTGGCCTCACTGGGCTCCTTCCATATCGCATCAATACCCTCGATGAGCAGTGTAGACGAGCCTACGACCAACTCAACACTCGCGCCGAACCGTTACGCAAAAACACCTTCCTGCAGAGTCTCAAAGACCAGAATTGGGTGCTCTACTACGGCCTTCTGAGCAGACATCTGAAAGAGTTGATCCCCATCATCTACACCCCTACACAAGTAAGCATCTTTTTATCGCTCCACCGCGTAGAGCTTGAACGGCTGTCCAGGGAGATGCCATTGCGAACTACTCCGAACTCTTCCGCCGGAGCGAGGGTCTCTACCTCTCATTCCCAGAGTTCGACAAGATGGAAGAGGACTTTCTTGCGGCGACCAAGGGGCGCGATATCCAACTCGTCGTCGTGACAGACTCGGAAGCCATCCTCGGCATTGGCGACCAGGGCGTAGGGGTGCGCATATTGCGTTTCGCAGGCGCATATATCCTACTCACACGACTCGCCGCCGTGTTCAGGGCATCGGCATTGCGACTGCAAAGTCAGCGATCTATACGTGCGTAGCTCCAGTCGTACCTCACCGCACGTGGCTTATGCATTGTATTCGTCAGGCTTCTGGGAGGGATAGACCCCTCAAAGACTCTCCCAGTAGTATTGGACGTCGGGACGGACAACAATAGCTTGCTTCATGACCCCCTCTACGTGGTACGCCCGGTCTCGTAGCTTCCTTTCCCGCGAGCTTCCAACGATGGGTTACCTAGGGTTGGCCAAAGAACCGCGTACGAGGGAAAGCCTACGATAGATTTGTGGACAGGTAAGCCTTCGTTCGAAATGTCAGTCATAAGTTTGACGCATACAATGACTCAGATTCGTCCAACTCGTTCGCAAGCACTATCCTCACAGCCTATTGCATCTCGAGGATTTCGGCGTCAGCAATGCGCAGCGTCTTCTCGACACCTACCGAAGCCAGCACACGGTGTTCAATGACGACGTGTACGTCATGTTCCATCCCACCCGCTTCCCGCCCTTATCCTCGTTCCTCCGGACAGTCAAGGGACCGGCGCCGTGACCCTCGCGGCCCTCATGTCCGCCGTCGGCGTGACCAAGAGCACGCTCGCAGACCAACGGATCGTCGTCTACGGCGCCGGCACCGCCGGCCTGGGCATAACCCGCCAAATCCGCGACGGCATCATCGCCGCGGACGGGCTCCTGCGGCAAGACGCCAACGAACGCTTCTACCTCCTCGACCGGCACGGGCTCGTCACCGACAACCTGCCGCCGTCGCACGTCCGCCCCGACGTGCGCGAGTTCTCCCGTCCCGCACACGAGTGGGCGGGGTACACGGGCAAGGAGGTCGGGCTGCTCGACGTCGTCAAGGCGGTGCGCCCGACGGTGCTCATCGGCTGCTCGACGCACGCGGGCGCGTTCAGCGAGACGGTGGTGCGGGAGATGGCCAAGGGGGCGGAGCGCCCGATCATCTTCCCGCTCTCGAACCCGACGCGGCTCGTCGAGGTGCGGCCGGAGGACGCGAACGCGTGGACGGACGGGAAGGCGTTGATGGCGACGGGCAGCCCGTTCCCGCCGTGCAAGATGCCGAACGGGAAGACGTACGAGATCGCGGAGTGCAACAGTGCGTGTGTTCGTTGGGTGCGCTTGGGGATGCGTCGGCTTATGAACAACCACCTGCAGATGCCCTCATCTACCCCGGTCTCGGATTCGGGGCGATGATCACGCAGGCCCGTAAGCTCTCGGACAAGATGATTATCGCCGGTGCACAACGTCTGGCGTCGCTCTCTCCTGCGCTGAAGGACCCAGACAACGCCCTGCTTCCCGATTTCGCCGATGCTCGCACAGTGAACACCGAGGTAGCCGTGGCGGTGGCGCAGCAAGCCCTCATAGAAGGCAGCGCGGGAGTAGATTGGGACGTGGAGGAAGTGAGGGATAGGATCGCGGAGACGCAGTGGATCGCAGAATACCCGGACTTTTTGTACGATCCTGTCAAAGGCGAGGGACAGTAGACGTGCTCGTCGATATAGAGATAGACCCCGATCCCTGACAAACTAGTATACATTTGCCCGCATGCGCAATAATACAAGGGTACAGTGTAGCATAGCAGCGGCCGCAGAGGTTACTTCCTTGCGAAAGTGATCTGCAACCACGGATGAGCAAACGTTCGCAAGAGGACCAGAGGAAACGCACTTTGATCTTGTTCTCGCCATCGAGCTTGTAGTTGTGCAACGCGTCCTTGGCCACCGTCGCGCTGCCCTCGTCCAAATACTCGACGAAGGCGATGTCCTTCTTCGTCGGGATGAGACGGACTTCGTGGAGGTTGGGGTACCTGGAAGGCAAGATGGGTCGAAGGCAGCATAGACCGTCGCGGAGAACACGTACTGCGAGAAGAGGCCCATGAGCTGGTCTTTGGTGACCGTCTCGGGCAGGTTCTGCAAGAACAGGATTTTGTTCGGCGGCAGGTACTCGTCCGGCATCTGGACGTTTGGCCGCTTCGCGGTGGGAACCGCACCGGCACCATCGGCTGGATACACAGGTCAGTGCGACGAACACGAGGAGGGAGACGGGGCGCACCGTCTGCGGCGAGACGCTTCTGGCGGTATTTCCGCTTGATGGGGTTCGTGTAGCGGGTCGCCTCTGCGCAGCGTCAGCAACGCCCGGATGCACGACGCGGCCACGGACTCACTCTTGTGCTCCAATCTCCTCGCCTTGTGCGTCTCCAGCCCGTCCTCGTCCAGCTTCTGCACCACCGCGTCCGACCGTGTCTTTGCGAACGATATTTGCTGCGGATTGCATCAGCCTCCGTTCCCTCGCTCCCCTCCGAACCACTCACCATCGGCCGCGAGTACAGCGGGAACCCCCTGACCTCCTTCAGCGCCTTCTTCGCGATCTCGGGGCTCTCGAACGACACGAACGCCTGCCCGCGCATGCGCAGGTTCGAGTGCGCGACGACGTCGAGCACCTCCCCGTAGCTCTTGAAGAGCCCGCGGAGCGACGCCTTGAGCACCGGCAGCTTGATCTTCTCGTTCAGGTTCTGGATGTACAGCGTCTCCGTCGCCGTCTCCTCTGCCGGGGCGGCGGGCGCGAGTGCAGCGAGGTCGGGAGGGGCGGCGACGGGGGCAGGGGCGATGACCGGGGGCATGCCTGTCGAGTCCACGGCCATGGGGGGTGCAGCGATGTCGGCCATCGTAGGCGGCGGAGGGAGGATGAGGTAGGTGGAGGACGAAGGTGAAGGTGAGTGCAAGCACGTGGCCGCGGCACGCAAGTAGAGAAAACGGGCGCCTAGATATGTCGGCGGAAGTCTTATATAAGCAGGAAACTACACAGCGCGATATCTCAATTCCTAGACTCCTCCTGCATCTAATCGAAAGCACGGGAAGCGACCCCGCTACTGTCGAAGCTCTCCGCAGACACAAATTCTCGACCGCTCGAGCTTCGCGCGCGGCTGGCCTCCGCAACCGTTGCGAATTCAATATTCAATGTTCAAACGTTCATGCCTGCTTCGCGACAGACACGAAGCCGCGCAGCACGCTCCGGACATTCTCCCCGAGTGACTCCAGATGGTATCCTCTAATTATCCACACACGACAGTGAGCTCCCCGCGCGAAGCCTTGCATAGTGGACGGACGCACCCTTCCATAACGAACAGCGTGGGCCGTGCGAGCATGCCGATAATACTGCCCATCCGTGGATAACACTGCTTCGACAGCGCGAATTCACAGATAGGGTCTTCGGCATAAGTGTCTACGCCCAGGCTGGCCGTCACGAGCTTAGAAAGCTCATCTGCATCCAAATCATAGAGGGCTCACCTGACGACGACGTAGTCAATCGCATCGTGTTTCCGTATTGTCTCTGCCGCGGTCTCAAGTGCTGCGCAGTACGCGTCATCTGCCGTCCCTTGTGGCAGTGGATAGTTGTAGTTGAATCCTAGCCCAGCCCCCTCACCGGTCTCGTCCGAGGACCCAGTCAAGTCTGTATGAAGTGCATATCAGCCACACAGATCGTGCAGAATTGGCGTGGGGTTACGCACAAGGATAATCGCCCTCGGCATGCAACGAGACGTAGAGGACTCTCGGCTCCGCGTAGAAGATCTGCTGAGCTGAACGGTTCGCGTCCACCTCTAGGGTCACATGTACGGAAAACTGTGGAGTACTCACTCCCGTTCCCATGATGATAGTCTATGTCCAAGATGGCTATGTTCCTGACGCCATGGGAATCAAGAAGGTACTTGGTGGCGATGGCGGCGTTGTTCAAGAAACAGTATCCGCCGCATAGAGCGTCTTGTGCATGATGGCCGGGCGGTCGTCTGCGGGTCAAGTGTCAACACGATGGAGACGGGAGGCGAGTGCACGATGGACGGGAGGCGAGTGCAGTGCATGAAGTCGTACCCTAGCGCGAACACGCCCTTCACTGGCGAAGAAGCCGCACGCAACTGTGCGAGTCTGCGTGCTGCACTCAACGCGACTTTCACGGACGCCAGTGCAGCCTTGTACGTATCTCCAAGCCGATGATAAGACACGCAGCGCATCATCGAACAGACGGGACTCACTCGCAGTGATAGGGCAGCTGAGATCAAAGGTGTAGAGCCCGGGTTTGGCGAGAGGCGATAGACTCTTCGGAGACTTGATTTCGAAATTTTGTATACCCCGATGGTGGAACGTCTCCGGGAACACTGCAGTCTACGGCCGCAGGTGGGTATATGCGCCATTTCGTGACCTTGGCGAACTCACCTTGTCACCACCAATAGCTGTCCACTCCTCGTAGATCGTTGCGAGGTACTCGGTATAGTCTTCCGAGTGGACAGCACGCATGCGGTCCAGAATGTCAGGCCATTCTCCGTCTGCTTGGGTCATCGTGAAGTCCTCGCATGCCTCGAGAGCTGCACGGATCTTGTGAAGGCGGTCGGGGCTTTCGAGGTAGGGAACAAGTCGTCCAGACAGGATCTCGTGGGGTGGATCATGAAGGAGAGCATCGTCATGCCAGAATACCTGCATCTTGTGTTGGTGCTGGTGTAGGAGGAGGAGGGGTGCGAAGGCAGATCCCTCGCATCCCGCGGCCAACAGGATTTTCGGCTTCGAATCCGTGACTGATAATCTTGTGGGCTAGAACCTTGACCTTACTACGGGTGCGCCGCGTATTCAGAAACATAGAGCGGAAAAACAGAGAAGTGTGCTTTCGACAAGACCAAATGGTGACCGGTGACGAAGAGACTCGAGAGGCGCACAACGTACAAGCTCGTCACTGTTGCGCTTGACGGACCTGCCGGGCCGGTCCATTAGTTGGACAAGTACTCACACTGATCGCTGCGGTGAAATAATCCTTTACCTCCTCCCTCCTCCTCCCTCGTCCTGGCTTCCGGACTCCTTCCCAGAATCTCTGCTCGAACACACTCCTTGTAGCTGCACTTCTCCCCACAGGCCTCAGCCTCTTCTACGATGCCCTCCTCGCCGCGGTGGGTCGAAGCGGTCAACAACGCTCTCCGACAGCACCCCGAACACCAACCAACCGGTACGCCCCTCTCCACACTTGCTTCTTCCCAAATATGCGCACACCGGCAGACTCTCATCCCCGTTCCCGCCAGTGTACCAAGTCGCGACAGTCGACGCCTCCGGCCACCCACGCGTCCGCACCCAAGTCCACCGCGCTTTCCACCACCCACCCGACCGCCCCGACCTCCCACTGCTCGTCACCTCGACCGACGCGCACACGCCCAAAGTCACGCAGCTCCACGCCTCCGCGCGCGTCGAGCTCTGCTGGTGGTTCCCCGGCACGCAAGACCAGTTCCGCATCGCCGGCTTCGCGCACGTCCGTCCCGCGCCCTCGCCCTCGGCGCCCGCGGAACCGACGCCGATCCCCGCGGGCGCGACCGCGCTCGAGACGCTGCGCGACGGCGGCTTCGACTGGGACGCGAAACGGCGTGAGGCGTTCCTCGCGATGAGCCCGGGCATGCGCGCGAGCTGGTGCGCGCCGGACGCGCCGGGGTCGCCGTTGGGGAGCTACGAGGAGCAGAAGGGGTGGCCGCGGAGCGTACCGGCTGAGCCGGAGACCGAGGAGGACAGGAAGAACTGGGAAATGTCCCTGGGGAACTTCGCGCTGATGCTGGTCGAGCCGGTTGAGGTGGACTGGGTCGAGCTGGGCGTGAAGCCGAACCGGCGGACGGCGTTCAAGAGGGAGGGCGAGGGTTGGGTGGAGCAGTTGGTTGTTCCGTGAGCGTGAGTGGTCTCTTTGGCGTGGAAAGGAAGTCGAAGCAGCGTGTACTACTTGTTGTACTACAGTCATGACAAAGCAATCTTGCATAGAGCGGTGATATCTATGACCTCTTTGAGAACGAGTCTGGCCCTCGGGGTAAGTGAAGAGGTCGTGTTCAATGAAACGTGTTGCAAAGCCCAGGACGATGACGAGTGTGTTTAGTGGGAGACATCCGTACGACGAAGAACCAGGGGGAGAGAGATGGCAGATGGGCATTGCTTTTATACACGAGCACGCACACACTGTTGGAGCGCCTCTGACATGGTTGAAGGAGATTCTCTACCTTCTCATAATGACCGCAGATCTAGTCAGGGACGTCGTAAATCGTCCGGATGACATGGTCCGCCTTGCGCCCCGTGTGCCGCACGAAGCCCATGTAGTCCAGCTCATGCAGCGCGCGGACGAACCGCGCCTGCACCTCTACCTTCCACGCCTCCTCCGCCTCCTCACCCACCTCCTCGTCCTCGTCTTCCCCATCGGTCGCGGCAGCGGCCCTCCCCTTCCCCTTGCTGGTCTTCCCGTCGCCGTCGGCCACCCGTACCCGCCGGCGGAGGTGCTCGCGCTGGTTCTCCAGCACGAGCGCGAAGCTCTCGAACCAGTCGAACACGTTCACCATCCGCCCCGCCTCGACGTACCGCCGGAACGCGATGCTCGTGTCCGGCACCTCCCACAGCGCCTTCTCCCCCTCGTCTCCGTCGTCTCCTGGTGCACCGCCGAACGCGATGACGGCCCCAGGCTGGGCCAGCTGGGTATGCGCCCGCACGAAGTCGTGCGGGCGCAACAGCGCCGCGACGGTCGCCGCGCGCGGTGCGGGGTTGATGAGCTCGGACGGGAACGGGGCCCCGCCTGTGTACCACACGTCCCAGAGCGCGCGCTCGTCCAGGCGGTGCGCGAGGTGGTCCCTGGAAAGAGGCACACGTCAACGTCGAGTGCATAAGAGTGCTTTGGGCTCACTCAATGTATTCCAGGAGCCACTCGCCTACCTCGGCCGCGAGCGCCTTCGTCTCTGGGTCGGGTGGGGCCATAGGCGCGTCGAAGTCGGGCGGTGTGGACGGGTCGTTGGGCGCAGGGTCGACATTATCCGGGAGGCGGCTGTTGACGCCCACGAGCCAGATGCGAGCATCTCCCTCGTCGTTGCGGAGCTCGACGCTCCGGATATCGTTCCAGAAATTGTGCAGCTCCCCTAGCAGCACACGCAACTTCTCCAAACGCAGCTTCCTGTGGTGGGCGTCAGCAACGTGTGATTCGGACAGGACTCTGGGGCGCACTTTACCGCGACGCAGACGTAGCGCACCTGCGAATCTACGCGCCCCCGCAGTACGTCGCTCAACGCTTCTAGCATGCCCAAGCGATTGCCATTTGCCGCCGTTCGGGAAGAGGACTGCGGAGTCTCTCCGAGCGCGACGCGTTCTGCGAGACGCGCGACGGCGAACCCGACCCGGACGCGCCGCGCGTTTTGTGCGAAAGCCGCATGCGCACCCGAGACGCGCTCAAGGAGGCCGTTGAAGGTTTCGGGGCGTGGAAGCGGGGTGCTTTCGTCTTGGGCGGTGGGAGGGAGGAGACGGGTGTGCAGTTCTCCCAAAGTCGACGCGAAGTCCGGGGAGGAGGACAGCGGCTCGACTTGACGGGCTACGTCTTCATCCGCGAACACGGTCAACGGTTGGGCAAAGTGCTTCATGTGCGCGAGCTGGAACACTGCGTCAGACGCGCTCTTGAGCCCTACGGAAGGAGGCCCACCTGCAGCATTGTGACGAGCGCATCCGGAGACGCGGAGTGTCGCCGAGCAAAGTCGGCGATGTAGTCAAGGGACCCTGGGCCAAGCATGAGAGTAGGCTCGAAGTCGACGTCAAAGAACGTCTATAGTAAGTTGAGTAACGAACTGTCCGTTTGTAGGATCCACTTACCTTCGATAGCACTTCGTTGATCATCGCCAACCCACCGGGCGCGACAACTTCACGGATTCTCAACAGCGCCAGGCTCGATCTCGGATACATGGTGTGTAGGAACGACGGTGTCGGAGGCGAGGTCATGACTGTGACGAATACCAACGGCAAGTGTGGTACGTGCATACTGTGCAGGTGGTCAGCAGATTCACGATCAGCGTGAGGATACAATGCACCTGCCTACATATGTAGAACACGTCCTTGACCACCTCGGCGTCGAAACGCTCGAATTCGTGGAGGAACGCCGTCAACCGCGGCCGTGGCTGTTGGGCCGCATGCCATGCGACCAGTAGGTTGACGTCAAAGGCAGCGAGGGACGTGGCCTTTCGTTTGCTGGGTCCTGTTACTTATTTTGGGTCGCGTCGGAGAGGACGGGGAGGGCGAACGCAGGAAGTGGAGCGGATTTACTCACCTTCTTGGTCCACGAAGCCCGTAACCAGAGCCCTCATCATGTTGATGATGCTACCGCACTCTGCTGGATAAAGATGAACGTCCCCGAGTTGGTCTTGTTCGTTGGTGGCGGCTTCCTCTGGCTTGTCCAGCCGCTTGACGACGTCAGAGAGTATGGACGCGTTCACGCCTACAGAGGTGTGAGAGTGGGTCCCCGACGATACAAAGCATATCTACGTACCAAATAGAGCAATGACTGGAAGTTCAGGATACGGGAGACCAGGGAGCACGTCAGAGTATGCGTGGATAACTTCGTGAGCGACTTCGTCCACCACGGAGGCACTCAACGCCTGCAGAATGGACTTCGAGGCACATGGGTACTCTTTTCATGATAAAGCTTCGCGTTCGACTCACTCGGACGTGTTCCAAACATTTGGTCCAGGCCACTTTGTATGCCTTCATACGCAGTGTATCCTGCGCGTCCTCATCTGCATCCTCCGTCGTGCTTGATGCATCATCTGCGGCAATATAGCCCGTCAATAACAGAAGCATCAATTCCAGGCAATCACCGACCTGCGTAGCCGGGAGTCAAGTATGCGCAGGTCTCACTAGAAGTCAGCTTCATATGCGTGGGTTCCTTGCCACCGTTGATGCTAGACGGACCTTTGTAGGATCTTGAAGATCATTCATGGTGGTACATCCAATGCGGGGACTCGTTTATAAGGCCAGAGATGCGGCGGTGTAGCCGTTTTGCAGTCAGCAAAGAGTGTGTGTGTGGTGCTGGGGTGGGCTACAGACTGGTACAGAGCGACGGGGGTCCGGGGACTCGAGACGGACGCGTTCATCACGTGATTGTCCGGTACGCGTCCTGTCTGTGTTTGGTCGCCGATCAGGTTCATCACAGAAATCCCCCGGATCTTGCAAGAGGATCGCATCTGCTTAGAAGATGATCGGAAGCAGCTTTATCGGTGTAAGGTACGCAATCAGTGTAACACGCAATTTACCCAATAGAACTGTTTGCAATCTGCGCGCTACACTGTTGCAATTGTCTTGCAATCAAGCAAATATTCCACAGGTGGTCAAACATGAGGATATTGGGCCATCTCGTAACAGCACAAATATTCTGTGGTCTCCTGAGCATGTCTTAAGGTAGCCATTATATCGTGGCTTGCAACTGTACTGGAAGAACGGCAACAATACCATCCATCCTAATACGCTTCTACAGGGCTAAGGAAGAGTTGCCATTTACGATGCATGTAGCATGTAGTACCATACATTGATCGTGCTAACTACCATACAACCACAAAGGGACCACTCTTCTCGATGTCATGGTTCGCCACCCTCGCGGAGACTGTTGAACATTGGATATCGAACATAGGTACATACAGATAGTTCTACGTACACATGGACATTGTGAGATAGTTCCTATAGTTCCACATGTCTATTCACTGCCTTGTAGTCCCTTATCTCTTCCATTCCGTTCTTCTACGCTTCTCTCTTTGTTCCCTTGTTCTACTTTCGGACTATCTTTTGTCTTGAGCGCACAGCCCGTACAGCATCGTATCCATCTTCTGTCCGGTCTGTTCTCTGCGCCATCTATGTCCTCCATCATTCGCTTACGTATGCAGCTCCTGAGATAGATATAAGGAGGACTCTGGCTCGCACTGCTCTTCAGTCGTTCTATCACTGACTGAGGAGTAAGTACCCCACTCTATGCGCTCCTTTATACATATGCTTACTGTATCTGTAGTCGCTCCTCTTCGTGTGCTTACAGGTACTACTTATGCCCTCAATATTAGTCGTTCTATCACTGACTGAGGATCGCTCCTCTTCGTGTGCTTACAGTCGGTCCTTGCCTTACTCAGAGTTCATCAGGTTATGAGCCCTGCGCTCTAGCTTGCTTACGTTGAGCAACGCGCGCTTCACCTTTCGCCAACGATTCAAGATCTCCCCATCGACTACTCGTGGACGGTTTCGGTCGGACATAGCTTTGGGTTTTACCCTCGCAGTCCTCTTCCTCCGTCTTCACCTCTACCCTCCACAAGGCCTTCCGACAGGTTTTCGTAGCGAGGTTGCCCCAACGGGTGCTCATTCTCCACGAGTAGGGGATATCGTTCTCAACATCGCGCTTCTCTGAACTTTCACCGACTTCACCGTGGCAGAAAACGTTGCTGGTCCTTCTACCGACCTCAACGACGTTCAGATCTCGTCTGGCAGCTCTTCGGACTCCGACGCGATTGACGTTTTCGACTGCTCACGCTTCTACCACCGATACGAACTCCGATCAGGAGGACAAGACATCTTCTTTGACGATGAGGACGGAGAATTCTTTGTTTGCGACGTACAACCTTGCCCTAACCGTTACGTGGACATCAACCAGCCCGCGAACTGTACACCTAGGCCATACCACCTCGCTCCAGATTCTCCTCAACACCCTCGTCATTTTGACGCCCTCCGTTGGTCGGAACTCCCTCAGTTTGACGTCTCTGCACCAGGTTCTCCACTTTCCTCGGTCGCTGCAGACGTTCCCCCATCTCCTCTCTCCTCACACCACTCTTCGCTCGAAGTTGAGCAAGTCCTTGAAGCAGACGTCACCTCTGACGCTCCGCTCTACGGTTCATTCGTCTA